AGAGAACCACAACTAAGCCTAGCTAAACCTTTCCCCGTTGTCATATCGAAGAACTAGAGGCGACTTGATTACGCTATTCGAATTGCTTGGTGATAAATTTGCACCTGATATGTACCATTTTTATTGTTTTCTGAAATAGATAATTTACGAGGAAGCTCCAGAAAAGTTCACAAACCCAGAACAAATTAAATGTCAGCTGAATATCGACTTTTTCATTGAATCACCAAAGAGTGGAATTCGTTACCTCAGCATATAGTTGAGGCTCCATCCGTCGACTCTTTCAAAAAAGTTGGATCAACTGAGAGATCATCATTCGCAAGACTAATACGGGCCGCCAAGCCTCTATCCTTTCCAAACAGAAATTAGGGAGTAGCTGACTGTTATATTCAATATGTCACTTGACCAAGGTGTGTTACCTATGGACTGGAAGAACGCAATCGTCACTCTCACACATAAAACAGGTCCACGACAAGTTCCATCGAATTACAGACCCGTAAGTCTCACCAGTGTTGTAATTAAAATACTGGAAAGAATAATCAAACGGACCATAACAGCATTTATGGAAACCAATAACTTGCTGAACATGGCACAACATGGTTTTAGAAAGAATCTACCCTGTACAACGAACCTCCTTATAGCTAGGGAGCTCTGGATTAATGCGCTAGACAACGGAAACTCAGTGGATGTTGTCTACATAGACTTCAGTAAGGCTTTTGAGAAGGTGCCAACTAATAGACTGCTATTGAAGTTGGCAAACCTTGGTATTGCCGAACCTCTTTTAAAATGGATTGAGGATTTCCTAGTAGGTCGTAGGCAAAAAGTAAGAATAAATTCCAAGTGCTCCATCTGGAGACCAGTACTTAGTGGAGTACCCCAAGGTTCCGTCTTAGGTCCTTTACTTTTTATAATGTACGTTAATGATCTTACAAGTATAGTACAGTCTCCAATGTTATTATACGCTGACGATGTAAAAATTTGGCGAGTAATAACTGGAGACAAAGACGCATTTACTCTTCAGGCGGACTTAAATAATATGATAAACTGGTCTAAAGAGTGGCTGATGCCTATCAACTCGGAAAAGTGTGTCTACATGCACTTGAAGGATTCAAAGGTTAATACGTACAGCATAGGGGATGTGTCATTACCCGTAGTCCGGTCTCATAAGGACCTAGGGGTGACAGTGAGCAATGATCTTAAGACGACGGCCCATTGCCGGGAGGTCGCAGTTAAGGGTTTTCGAACCCTCTGGGCTTTAAAAAGGACATTCACTAAGTTTGATACTACCACGTTTACCACATTATACACATCCTTAGTGAGAACTAAGTTAGAGAACTGTGTTCAGGCTGCAAGTCCCTGTTTAAAAGGTGACTCAGACATACTAGAAAAGGTACAGAGGGCAGCTACGCGTGCAATTCCGGAACTCCGGGGTTTATCATATAAAGAGCGGCTTGAAAAACTGAACCTCTTTACTCTGTCCTATCACAGACTAATGGGAGATCTAATTTTGATGTGCAGAATGCTGAGAAATGATTTCGGACCTAACTTATTCCCTCTCTTTCTTCCCACTTGATCGGGACACCTCAGAGGACATAGCAGGCGAGTAGAAAAGCCAAGAACGAACAAAATACCCGTGGCATACAGGTTTTCACACCGAGTCACCAATACTTGGAACCTGCTGCCTGAAGCAGCGGTGTCCGCACCTTCAATTGACTCTTTCAAAAGAAGACTGGACACTCACAGAAGCATACTAGAAGAGGAATAACATAGGCCGTAGGCCTTCTGTCCTTACTACACAAATCTGAGTCTGAAATTACAAGCTATAAAAATCTACTTATAAATAACCAAATAGACCAAAATTGGTGGAATTGAATATCTAATCTATGCACAATAAAGATAACCTTATACGTTAAACTGCACCGAAATGGGAAGAAGTGAGCAAAACGAAATCAGCTTATAGGAGCTCGTTCGAATATATTGGATATTGAAAACCTTGCGATATTGTCGTGGTGACTAGACGCAGATACTTAAATGTAAGCTTACAAACTATCCCAATTCTTACGCTTAATCTCACGATTCGTTAAGTTCTGTCGCGAGCTCTTCTTGATTAGTTGAAAGCAATATAATGATTTGTTAGTCGTCACCTCTACGTTTCTTGACAATTTTCTATCCATGGGTTTGCAGATTTGCTTTTTCAGTCTGCAGACTGAATAATAACATGTTATTACAACAACTGAGGCATACGAATCCCCTGAAAACATACTGTATTGTGGATGTTACAAACTCTGACTGTTGATTTTGAAAAAGAAACGCACGTGCGTAAGAGTTACATGTATGTTTGTGACCTCGGCTTAGTCACTTCGTTTCCCAATGTATGAATATACTGATGCAAAACTGTGACATTTTAAGATTGAAAAGTACAGAGCACGATAAAATTTTGAAGATTATACTTTGCTCAATCTTAATCCACATATATACATGCACGATAGTGAACATTTATCACATAAGGTTAGATCAGTTTATTTTGTAATTCTATTGAATTATTCTTAAAGCCAAGATATTACTTAGTCGAGGTTGACGCTGAAAATAGGCAGAAACTAAACAATACTAAGGATTAAAACAGTAAGAATCTAATTATTGTTCACAGAGTTGTCTTTACTAGTAAACAAACCTGATATTGCCCCAGCAATTGTGTAACAAGTCATTACAAACAAGAAACGGTACGGTGCTATATCTGTTATCGAACATCTTTGTATGAAGTTGCACTATGGCAGGTTGCTTTAGGAGTATGCAAATGATATGAGTTTCTACTGCCGACAACTATCCTAATGTCGCATCGAGTATTTAGCACAAATTACAAGACGTAGCCATGGGATGTCAAGCAGAGTGCACAATAATTCTTTCGGAAAGCCTTTGTAGACCTCTGCAAGTGTTGCGTGGAATAAAATATCTGGCACTACATCTATCTACAAATGATAAAACAAAGTCAACCGATCCAAACCAGTTCACGAGAAGAAAATAAAACACCATAAAACTTCGATAGTGATTTGATCAGAAGAAACACCTCATTATCTAGTGCTCAAGAACCTGATTAAACGGACATCGGAGTAAACATGTGACACGAAATTCGTCACCCTTCATGACGATAAATACTTGGGCCTTTGATGAAGGGGACTACCAACATTCGGTAAAATGTCTCGCTTGTTGGTAATATCGTTTCATGAAGGGTATCTCTTGCAACGCGAACCCGGTGGTCCCAGTGAGTAGATAGAAAAATATACTTCACCTTGAGGTACATCCTACGCCTGCCTTCCCTGATCTCGTGATCAGGTCAGTCATGAATGCCTTGCCAATAGGCCTACGCATTTGACCCCCGATAATCAGTAGATGAAAGTAGCATCTATAATTGGTCAAGGTAATTTGTGTATTGTATTGTGATAAGTAATGTCCAGTTGATGTTAACTTTTCAAGATACTGCACTTTTTGAAATATGTAACTGGTTTGTGTCGACAGAATCTATCGGTTTATCCATGAACCACCAATGGTTTTCTTCTATAAAACTATTCGAGGTATAAATAGCCGAGTCACATGGTTGTAAAACTTCTGGAAGTGACTTAATGCTTTCAAGTCAAGTTTACAGTTTTCATCTGAGGACGAATGACTGACTGCCCTTATATCTACTTTCTATATAGTAGAATGGGCTACTGCATCTGTTTGGTATAACAACAGACAGTCGGTCATCATTTGCAGCTGTTCTTACTTGATTTCTACATATCCCTCCCAACCAGTGGTTGGTGTTATTATGTTTCATAGATAAGTCTTTCAGTCTCTGATACAATCTTCGCCAAATATTTGCAAGGTTTTCAAAGCTATAACCAGTTACTATATTGACACTCTAACGAGATCGGTAAAATTTGTTCCTTAAAGTAGCCACATCGACTCAAACTATTAAAGTCAATTAGAATATTGATAGCATAATAATGAAAACCTGTTTAATTGATGCAAATATTTTCACAAAATACTTTGAACTTGTCATCATCTGTTCTATTAAAACATCGTATTGAGGTGATTTACTAAACTACCACCTTATTTTCGACAACTGAATGGAATATTATTAATCACACTAGACTCTGTAATCCTCAACTATGTATGGGCGATAAATACAGTTTAATATGAGATCTCATTCGAGAATCGACGTTTAAAGCCGCATAGCTGTTATTTTGTAACAGGTCCAAATCAAACAACCGCCTATCTGCAAACTTCCACAGAGAGAATATTAGTCGTCTGCAAAATATTGATAACAAAGTGCAGGTTATTAAGGTCGGCTCTTCAAAACACTGACTGTTATTGTTAAAACGCGTAAAGAGTTAAGATGCGGATGAGCTCTTTTTGAAGTTAATTTCGACAAGTTAATGGTCAATGATGAGACTGCTTCGACTCTCGCTCCTTTTATTCACATCTGAACAGACGAGTATTTTCGCAAGTGTTGCACGTAATTATCAAAAATGGTGCTCGTCTTAATGTACAGAGAGTGAGAGTAGTTATAGAATGAACTAATTCGAGATTACAACATCAGAATTATTCTATAGAATGATGTTATTACTCTAATTTTCTTGATTCGGTTGGTAAATCGATACTAATTCCACCATGCACAACGAGGGAAACGTACTGCAGTGAAGAAAAACTGCATAGGAAGCCAAACACAAGCAAACTTTACTAGCTTACCAATGATAATTAGCTTATATTTACACAAAATACTGATGCAATATGAAAATACCAACTGCCGTAAAGTTTAAACGCACCCAAGCTGAAATTTGTGTGAGTGCCATATGATAACATAATGTAGTGTTAGTACTAGGCTCTAAACAAGTTTATTCGTGTCAATCACTAGATTATATACTAATTAGTAAGAAATGTAATGTAATGTAGAAAGAAATGCAATTTTGACCTCGTATAGTATGGAAAATGTTCATTGCTAAAACCCGGAATAATATATACAATATATACATTGATTTTTATTAAGTCTGAGAACTGTAATGTTTGTTACAAAGTAGACATATAAAGTGAACCATAAATCTCCTTGTTCTTAACTTCTTTTATTAAAATTTACATGTTTATTGTAGGATTTCTCCAGAAAACGATTTGTTTTGAACTAAAATTAGCTCTGAATAATGTCAAAATCTGTTAGTGGTAAACGTAAAACTAAAGGAAAGAAAACTAAAGCAAAGGACCCTGTGAATGAGGTATTAGAAAAAACACAGGAAGACGTAAAAAACTTGCGGGAAGAAGTAAGCAGAAAAATATTTATTGCAGAAAATGCAGAAAATCGTCGCTATCAAGCATATACTGAGAAATTGGAGTCTGTAAGAAATTATAATGAATTGAAAAAGTCAACACAAAACCATGCTGCTTTCCTAATCACAGAAAACGAAATAAAAGTAACCAATCTTCGAGATGAAATAGAAAAATTAACCACAAAACTAGATGAGGCCAATAAGTTAATTGAAATAAGAAATAATGAACTGAAAAATTTACATCAAGAATTCCTAAATTGTAAGGCAGAAAAAGATTCGAAAATCAGCACATTAGAACAAAAATTAAAAGAACAAGCTGCATTATTTCGTGACGTTATGTCACAAGCGTTCAATCAACTAATTGAACAACTAAGTATCGACTATGAAAATGTTCATAATAACTACAAAATATTTTCTCAGCCTACAAATGATCTAATAGAATTGGAGTTTTTAAATCCACCGTTTTTAGATGAAGAATCTGTTGAATATATATAATTACCTATCTAGATATATACAGTGATGTAGGAATTTTCTCAACATATTCACAAGGATATTTTCTAATTAGCATTTGTGAATAATTTATGTAAAAATAATTCCTGTATAAAAAAGAAGCCACAATTCTGCTACGACAGTTATTTATTCTTTAATAAGACCCGTAAAAGGGAGGAATTGTATGAAACATAACTGCACTGTTTTGATAGATGTTAAACTATTTTCAATAGCAAAATATCTTTGCTAATTAATTTTTGAAAAAACAACTAGTCTGTGAAGTTGTTATTGGAAAAAATGCAACTCATCCAGAAATTACTGACTTTTTATATCAAACTAATAGCGGTACTACCCAGTGATTTAGCCTTTTATATTATTGGAAGATACATTTTCACAAGTAAGGAAATGAAGTGTGAGAATATTTAACCAAGAGGTAAGGATGCATAATCATGAAGCCACTATTCCGAAATAAGATGGAGCCTTTACAGTTAACGATGTTGCTGAGATACCAATCTCAACTGGAACGAAGTGCAGATGAACTGTTTTTAAAAAACAGCAACTTAAAAAAGCAGATTACCTCAGGTAACCGCACTAACCATAAAAGATCTGTTGTATATAAAACTCGATGGTGTCAAGTGTCTTTGGCAGATAAGACGCCATGAAAACCGTTACCGTTTCTAAACCATTAAGTAAAGATACTCCAGATAGAATAGGGGGATATACTGTGATTTTTATACAATGTACCAAAATAACAGTGTAGTTAGGTCAATTTACAAAATATACTTTTATATCTTACTGATGACATTCTATAAGTACCTTTGAGGGAAGTGTGTGGACATTTGTCACTTGGAGATCGATCTGATGACATTGGGTATGTAAAAACTTACTAACCCTAAGTGACAATATAGGAACTTATGACATACCAACTATTGGGAAGGCAACAAACCAAGTGAAGCGGAAGATAGTCTATTGAAAGCATTATAACCTCCAAAAATTGGGTGCTCAGACAGTTATTTATTCTTCAATTAAGCATGTTAACGTAAGAATACATCTTTAACAATCATCGTTAGATACCAAACATGTCCCATCGCGTCTTCTTGTCCCTTACTAAACGTAGAGATATAATAATAAAAGCTCTCGTAAGCAAGCGTAAAGATTAGAATTTCAAGATATGGATGAGATTAATCTCACTGTAAACATAAGATTAGTTGATCCCGCCAATATAAACATAAGCGTGGTTGTAAGAGGTTGAACACTGTTGAGGTAAGTCCTAATTTCGACCTGAATCCAGATACCGTCGTTCTATGTTATCCCGCAATTCCCAGAGAATTAAATTCAATTGGTTTATTTTGTGTCAGGTAGAGTAAAATTAAGAGCCGATTACAAATGTTAGTAGAACAGCGTATTCCAAACAACTAATGAAAGTAAAGAGGAACACAATAGCGAACCACTTAAAACAGGAATGAACTAAGTCAATATTCAATGGACAAATAAACTTAATGAAGGTGTATATTCATCAAGGGTTAGATTCAAATGTTTACAGAAACAGAAAATAAGGCAATGCGAACGCAAGTGTAGTTATTTTAAGCTTATGAAACCCACTCTAAAATACGTGCTTCATACTTAAAAAGTAGTTTTAAATGACACTATCTGTTACACCTACTCATCTATAAAAAATAAAAGCGAAAGAAATAATTTATTTTTAATAGACACTCAATTTGTAATACAATTATAAACTAAAGCATTACATGAGCTACGCTAACTTACTGTTATACATATGACATAATTAAAAACGATTTTTTAAGATATGGAAACGGAAAAATTACGCATGTTAAAGAAGCTGATAAATAAACATTTATTCACAAGTACAAATATGTGTATCAATAATAGTACCTGTACAGCGAAAATTAATGAATTAAGTCATAGACTTCGTCATTTCACATTTGCACATAGATCCGCTTCGCTATATTGATTGTACCGATTACGAATCTAAATGAGTGTGGATGAATAAACATTTTATTAATTCACTCACGAAAGCGACTGTTACATTACTACAATAGGGGATTTTGTTATGGGTACAATAAACTTAAGTAATCAAATACATGCATTAAATACTTTAGGTTATGCACTACGTCTGTAAGGATGAAAGTACGTTAATTTAGTTCTGTCTTCAATAAAGGCGACGCAAAGTAATGAACTATAATGCATGATAGATTTCATCAAGGTTCATATAAGTAACAGTTATGCAGTACAAAAATAACCAGTAATATTATACAAACTTCAACATTGATGAGCCGGCGAATAAGTAGCTGAACACTAGACTAGAAATGATGTCCCATACATCAAATCAATAATGTACTAAAATCTTAGGAGGAAGCACAGAATCTGACGGAGATTTCAACCGAGTTTTTCTGTATACTTACGTGTTTCACTTGTTGGTTTAGAATATCCAAATAGTAAACTAACTGTATGGCAAAGTCTTCTAAAACGTTTTAAGCAACAAGGCTAGTATGTTTGGGACATGTTTTTTGCCCTCTAAATGACTTCTGCTCCACGACTGGTTGGCGTCGAAGTTTAAACTAATGACAAGAAGTAAAGTGGTTGAATGTACTTATCGCTTCGCTTATCCTGTAAATCTTAATATTCCTGAGTGAGTTGGTGTATTTTAACGAATAATTTAAGAAAACTATTAAGCATTTGACTAAGATGTCTGTTATCAGGCTTAAGCTCATGTTCAGATAATACAATAACGCACATTCAGCTAAATTACGCAGTCACAAATAGTTAGTTTACTTACATCAAAATAAAATGTATCTGTTGAATTATCAGGATCAGGAATGAAAGGCATTTCTAAATCATGTAAATTATTCCAATCACCAACAGGTATTAACAAATCACTTGACTTTATTTGACTTGCAACTTGAAGTCTGTCTGTTTGATTATAGGATAAGAGGCCACTAATTAAGTTTACAGCTGCTTGTGAAAGTTCACAGTTTTTTTGTGGTGATTCATTTATGTTAAAAGATGATCCACATGTAGCAGCAACAGGCCAGTGTATATCTGTGAACAAACCATAAAATTGACAACAGTGAAAAACAATATTAAAAAGACTAGAAATATTGGCACACGGACGCAAGCAACATGCAGGATATCACTACTTCCGTAAATAGACCAAAACACTTAATGCTTCAAAAACAACTGTAATTGGATTGATATATTTAGCTTTCGGTTACATGTTTTCTGTGGGGACTATTGACACTTGTAGCTATCAAAACAAAGATAAGTAGGGTAGAGTGCGAGCATACAGCTTAACAACTGAAAGTTAAGTGCCTAGGTTATTAAATTACGCCTTTACACGATCTACTAATCGATAGTCCTACCGAATGTAGAAAGAAACCACTTTAATCCTCAATAGTTAGACGCGATAACTTGGAAAAGGATAAAACAACACCATAATACGGACAGTAAACTGGTGAAAGATGCTAATTGTAGATAACCGACAGTAAATTTATGATTATTTGCAGTGGTGAAATTCTACTCACTTCTTATTTCGATATTGTAGTGACTGATAGTTTCTTCTACTCATTTCATCATTCACCTGATCTGACAATCTCACACACAATATAATAGAATTATTCATCAATTTTAGTAAGATTATTAAATACAGTCCAGTAATAAATGATACTAGTCATATTTATTTCATGGAAGTCCCGACCGTAGCTGTTAGGTATAGCATTCTCAATCCAGGAGATTGGATCGAAGGGCAGAACACTTTAGGGATCAGTTCAACTGGCCTTCAGCCACACTTCGGTTTCCCACGATCTCCAGTCAACCTGAATGGCAAGTTGATGTAGGTCCTTCGACTCTTTACGAAGTTGAAAAAGCTATAGGAAATCTGGAGCGAGGGAGAGCAGCAGGCCCTGACAGGTTCACTTCTGAGATTTTTAAGGATCGTGGTCCAGTATTAGCAGTGAGATTAACTGAGGTCTTAGGTAGAATTCAGGAAGTGGAAGTAATCCCATCTGACTGGTCTCAATCACTGATTGTACCAGTCTATAAGAAAGGAAAAAAGTTCTCTAGTGACAATCACAGAGGAATAAGTTTGACTAATATAGTGTCTGAAATATCAACTTCAATAATACTTCGACGCCTAACTAAAGCTCGTGAATAGCAGACTAGAGAAAATCAGGCTGGTTTCGACCTGGACATGATTGTATAGACCAGATATTCACACTACGTCAGGTTCTAGAACACAGACACACATTCGAACGCCCCACAATCGTAGTATTTCTCGACCTTAAGGAGGCATTTGGCTCTGTTGATCGTGAGGTTCTATGGCAGTGTTTGTCACTGAAAGGAGTACTAAGGAAGTACATTAACCTTGTAAAGGCTCTCTACTCGAACACAACTGGTCGAGTGAGAGCTTATGGCGAACTGTCATCAGAATTGATTACCCCAAGTGGTGTTCGTCAGGGCTGTCCACTCTCCCCATTCTTGTTTAACTTTGTGGTCGACGTACTTTTAGAGATAACACTCTCCTCATCTAAATTTCCAGGGGTTGAACTTCTACTGGGAGATTCACTTTTGACCTACAATATACCGATGACATAGTTCTATTTGGTGAAGACGCTGACAAAATACACAGTCTTCTGACCACTATAAGCAACAATGCAAGCATGTTCGGCATGCGATTCTCTCCCTCGACATGCAAAATGTTACTTCAGGATTGGGTTGCATCGACACTTGAACTAATGATAGGGAGTGAAGTAGTTGAGCGTGTCGACCGCTTCACTTATCTTGGAAGTCTCATCAGCCCTTGTGGTCTGGTGTGTGACGAAATCTCAGCACGGATACAGAAGACTCGACTAGCTTTTGCCAACTCGCGTCATTTGTGGCGTAGGCGGGATACCCGTCTATCAACCAAAGGACGTGTTTACTGTGCCGCAGTTCGCTCCGTCCTACTTTATGACAGTGAAACATGGCTAGTAAGACAGAAAGTATTCATAGGTTACTAGTGTTCGATCATAGGTGTCATCGAAACATTGCTCGTATATCGTGGGACCATCGAGTAAGTAACGCAGTTGTTAGGAAACGGGTACTAGGTAAGGATGGCAAATCAATTGATGAAGTAATGAAACTTCATCAGTTGAGATGGCTGGGACACGTGTTACGTATGTCCGACCACCGACTGCCTCGACGTGCAATGCTAACCGGTGTTCGGGATGGTTGGAAGAAAGTTAGGGGCGGCCAAACCAAAACGTGGCATCAGTGCTTGAAGTCACTAACTTCTAGCCTGAGTCATGCTGGTAGATGCAGACTACTTGGTTGGGGTCCGCGTGAATTTCGTAACCAATGGTTTGAGACTCTTGGTGACATGGCTCAGAATCGATCACAATGGCGTAGGTGTATACACTCCCTGTCTTCCCTTGAACTAAGAGATTAAAATCACTTCATATCTTTCTTTCTACTAACTAATTCTTTCTTCCTATACTATATTCTTATATGCAATCTTTCCCCTATATATTACCACCTTTGACCTAACCACTCCTACGAGTCCGGTGTTCATCTTGCTGTGTTAATGAGGTATGGCAACCTGGACCGATGCATATATGTGCCTCGTCCTACGTTGTAGCTGACTGACTGACAACTATAGAGACTCGAGTAATCAATTCAAAAAGCTAAACATCAAAAATTATTTGACCATCACGTATGCTATTAAAAAATTGGTGTAGGAAAATGATCAGAATGAACCTTATCGCTAATAACGGAAATTTATAGGACATTCATGTAGATATAACATGTTCAACATCCTAATTTATTTAGCACATATCAAACCAATTCAGTCAAAACTGTATCTACGTACTGCAGTGGCGGCCTATCGGTCGATGCAATCGGGTTTTGACCAATACCGTTACAGGTTAAACCCTGTTCCACTTAGTCTGGTTCGGGCAGCCGGATAGTATCACTTATATGACTCGAAGGCCACTAAATTAACAAATACTTCACAACTTTATTTATTATTAAACAAAATACTAAGGATTTTTGCATAAAAATAAGAAATAAAAACCTACTAATCAAAACCACTGCTGAAACATACCTAAACTTAGAATATTGTGAAACACATTTTCTACAGTTTCATCTGCAAATGGAGTTACACCAACTAACATTTCAAATAATATAACACCTAAAGCCCACCAATCGACAGCTGGACTATCGCATGCACTTTTGGAATTAGGATGAAGTAATAATTCTGGTGCCAAATATTCCGGAGTACCTAACAAGTGACTAGATAAGCTCTCTAGATTCGATATATTTTCAAGTGATTCTGTAGTAACTTGAAGTGGATTAATTGCTGGTGTACTATTCAACGAAGTGATCAGTTTCTTGTCGAACCGCTGACGTTTACAAGTTGAATTTATATGCATGGAACATGAAGGACTAGAATAAAGCAATGTTTGAGCAGGAAGATTACTTTCTGATTCGATTGGGTGGAAATTCCGAGTTAAATGTTTGCTACTTTTCTAAAACAAAGTTTTAATTTTATTAAATCAGATAACAAAAATGGTTTCAAACAAATAACAAAATTACCGATCAAAAACATAACACTGGAATATGCCTTCCTGGTAAGTGATCAATACATAATAGTTAAGATCCCAAAAAAATTCGTTAAACTACTTCACAGTACAATAAAAAAGATGGACTAAAACAACCTGAAATAGTAATTAAACAACTTAATGTGTTCTATCAACTTAGTATTACTTCATTTATATTACCTTTAAGAGTTATGTAAAATCTATCCCGATTTAGTCTTCAAAGAAGGTGTTCATTGTTTGTTTGTCGTTTATGTTGATGAATTGTCAACATCTTCAATATGTAAACTAACCAACCCTTTATCCACTAGAGATTATGAACTTAGATAATAACCCGTATATTATAGAGGGAATGTACGGGATTGACACAAAAGTAAATGTAGATAATTTTTATAAATTATAAACAGATGCAGGAGAACTTTTGGAAATGGTTTGACTTTCATGGTAGTTTAGAACACTAAAAATGTACCGAACGACAACCATCATGGTCGTCTACTGCTGCAATAGTACACAAAATATAAATCATCCAAAATACAGATTATAGATGTTACCCCAATGACTGGAAACCACAACTATAAAGATAACTAATTTGCCTTAATTCTCTAAAAATATCAACCTTTTTTTACTTTAAAACAACCTACTCTATGACCTTACAGATGACGTAAAAACTTTTACAAAGTGATGAATTGAGGAATGATTTGATTCATTAAGTGTATGAATCACGTGTAGAAAGTAATTTTCGGGAATTTTGAATGCTAGTGATGAAAAAAACAATTTAAGTTGAACTGAGGTAGTTGGAAACCAACCTCTCCATAAATTTAACGAACCAATCTTTAGTTGGACATGGAACACAAGATGAATACAATGTGCACATTAGGAACAATCAATGGGCAGTATAACTTTGCTTTAGTGAAATTTTCTTAGGTCATAGTAATTACAAGGCTATAACCTGATAATTCGAAAATAGTATATGGTTAGCTTTCAATTCCCTAGATAACGAAGGGATGATAACAAGGAACCAATTTTTATTTTACAGAAAGTTAAAACAACCACTTAACAATTTACAATCCACTTCTTATTCTCATAGTTTAAATAAATCTTTCGATACATTACGCAACAATATTATGGGACTATCACAAAGACTACATAAAGAATCACTTAGATTTTCATTGCAATTTTAGTGATATTTGGGGAAAAATTCCGTCCTTAATAATTTGATGCTACTATCTTGAAATAACTAAATTTATTAGTTCACATATGCCATTGAAGAGAAGGCTGGAAATACAACCAGCTCATTATATTTTGCAAACATTGTCATTCATACTTTGCTTAAATTAAATTTTCAAAATGTAAAACAGGAAACAATGTGGAGCTTTAATTGAGATCATGAACCAATCAATGTCAGACTACAAATGAGAACCTGGAATCACTGGACGGCCATTTAGTCCTAGTGTAGGACTCTTCAGCACTGTGCATTCACGATCCCGCACACGGGATTCGAACGAGAAACCTTCATTCTCACACTCAAGGGCTTAACCTCTAGGGCTCTGAGCCGGCATCCAACGGTGTTAATGTCTAACCTCAACCGAACCACAATACATTCTTATCGAAATTCGAGCCAAACTAAATAAACGAAAGATACTCACTTTAACTATAGAAGCAGGAGAATGATGAGGAAATTTTAAAGGTGTATTAAGTAGCACTGGAGAAGTTATACAGTCATCCATAGATGGATTCGAGAGATCAATATCATTTAATAAATAATCGCCTAAAGAAAATGAAATAAAGGTGAGAAATGTTAAAAATTATATAACTTTTAAGAGTGAATACTCATCAATATTCGTAGGTCGAAATCTGAAAGCGCGAACGACGAAGGAATATCCACAATAAACTTTTGAGAACTGTGTTCGCCTGTCTGAAATTCAGTCATCAATAAGTTTAAGACAAGCTAACATGCATTTGTCAGTTTACGTGCTTCTGTGATATAAAGTACATATAGCGTACGATTTGTTTGCTCACAAAACGCACTTGCCAATACTATCATGCATGACTGACTTGAAATGAACGAAAAAAAAAAACGAAAAGCAGCTCTATTACAGACTACTCTGACCGCGAAGAATGCAAATAACTTAATTATAATATCATTTTAGTTTTTAATCATTTAAACATATTTGTCTTTTTAATGCAAAGAATCAGCCTATAAACTTATTCCTAGCAAATAATGAACTTTTGCCCCTAACAGAAGACTACTGATACTCTAGAAACAGTTCCAAAGACTGGAAGTGGTAGTGATATGTATCAATCACTTGTAGAAAGACCTTTCGATCCTTAGTATTCAAATGACATAGTCTCCTAGTGAAATGAGACATAAGCAATCTAAACTGCACCTAATCAGAAACCGTAACCGTAGCACGTATTCTAAGCCTTCGAAATGTAAAGCACTTCTCCAAGACTGACAGAAACTTGTGTCCGCACTTTCTCATTTGTAGTGAACCGTTAGAAGCAGTTGGAAAGTTTGTTTATACAGATAGCTGTGTGAGTGCTGGTGGTGGTATAACAGATGAAGTTAATTTACGTATAATGAAAGCCAATACGAGCCATCTTTAGAGTCGTTATGATGTCAATTTGGTTGTAAATGGTCGGGTTTATGACGGATCAGTGAGAGTAATTTTCCTCTATGCTTTCAAAACTTGGTCTCGTCAACTTGATGATGTTCAATGCCTCTATGTTTGGTCATCATTGTCTCCAAAGAATTCCTAACATACACTGACGATACTGTTGGTAATACTAAGGTGTATCACCATCTTCAAACACCGACAATGTTGAATTGGTCATGGTTTACGAACGTCATCCTAGAACTTACGACATTCAGTGATTACGTCGAATAGCCAAAACTCCTTTTTTTTCTTTAAACGGAACTCAACAGTGATTAAACACAAAACAATAAATATTTACACATGATTACTTTATGTCATACAACAATATAATTTAACGGTTATGGAGAATAATCACACTATATGCTTACAAACTAAGATAATTCATATTTTTTACAACCGAAAAAATTTCGTGATTGTACACACAGAAAACTAATAGTAAAAAAGATGTAATAGACCAAATAAACGAAAAGATAAACGTACCACTTATACCTAAACAATGGGATAACGGTGAATGACGGAACAGGCTCAATCTGGCTTTTTCAACTGGAGACAATATATTTTCCGTCGAAGTATTTCGCCTGGAAGATGAATGAGGGAAAACCAAATCAGGGAATCGGTTAGTGACCTAATAAAGTGTTATGTACTGTTAAGCGAATTTCAAACATGGTTATTACACAACTTGTTGAGGAAAACAGGACAATGTCTCCTACAAAGGATTTTTTGCCTAGCAAATACAGTAGAAAATCATAACATGAAATAAACATTCATGAGACGCGTGAATAATACTAGACGACCGTATATACACTTCTATACTAAGCTTATCAAGCGGGTAGTTACATATCAGGAATACCCTTTAAATTGTTTTCGAAAATTTTCTTATTGTCGATTCGTAAGATTACCGTGCAATTATTAGCCTCGAATTCTTGTCGCTTTACCCTTTGCAACCTACAGTTTTAGTCCATCAGCGTAATATATATATATATATATATATATATATATATATTATACAGCCGTTCCACCTTTTTTTCTGAAAGGTACAAGTTCATCTGAGACGTTAGTTGCAGATCGCAACTTGTTAATGTTTAGGTGAGCAGACATCGATTTAATTACGTTCCGGTGAACACGATCATCTCTTCATTCGTGTGTAGCGATTATCCGTCACGCTGTCATGTTTATCAAAATCCTACTTTATTACCTGAAAACTCCGAAAGACACTTCCGTATGTGTAAATTATTCACATATAAATCAACACTAGCTAAAATAAACACGTAGAAATAAAACAAGCACTCACTTTAAATCATTTCTATCAGTCAGATTACATAGAGAGGAGTTCAAAACCAAATCCTGAATATCTCTATTTAAAGAAGAAATTTCCAAACACGAAGCTGTATTTCTAAGCATTTTTTCCACATTCTGACATTCCTTATTGTGATATGATGGCTTCAAAATTACTGATGTTTTTGATTTGTCAATTGCTAAACTATGAGTAGCAGATAAGTCAGAAGTTGGTCCATTTTTCGGAAGTGGATTGTAGTTATGACGTTGACGGTGACATAGTTTATAGCCAGTTCTAAGAGAATTAACTTGACTGGAGTAAGACGTCTGTTATGATTGAATATTATGTTAAATAGTAAGCAATTAAGAGTATATTTAAAAATATGATAGGTTGTACTAAAAACCTAAACAATATAATCGATTTTAATGAGAAGAGAGTGGAGCAGAATTTATATATAAAAAACTTGTTTTACATTTACGTCATATGAACATCGACTTAATCTGACAGATTATGCATATGTTGTAAGGGATGATTTAACTATAAGGTAAAAACTTTCGAAGCTATTTCGCTACGGTTTTATTTACACATACTGATTGCGTTTTTACTAAATATTTTGGTTTTATTTTTCACTACCCTAATTCTAGGCTTTTGTTTGGACTGCAATTTGTTGCTGTAGCATCTCTCACTTACCGAGCATTCCGTTTTCCCATCACTAATGTCGTTGTTTCATGTTTATGCTGTTACCCAATTGGTCTACTGTATGGTCTGGTCTTGTACGTATATAAATGAATGTCTGAAATATAATAATGATCCTGGACTGGTGAGCATTGCTTTTGCGTCCCTCTACGTTTGGGGTTAATTAGTATTGAGCCAACAATCAGGCAAAGAGTATCAGTCTCCCAAATGCTTGTTGCGTATTAGTTAATTAAGATCGTCTACGCGTATTGGTTGATTGTAAGACGTAACAGTTGATAACCTAGGCTATGAGACAAATATACTTAAAGGGATAGTTGTATTAAAGCATCACCCTTTGATTCGCCATGATTCCCAGAATAGGGTATTAGATACCAAGCACTTGAGATACTTGGAACATTAAGGGATATGACTAGGACCGTGATGATTGTGCTCGGTAAGATGGACCTTCTGATTGAATATAATAAATTTTGGTTGTCTTATCACACAAAATGCATCCTTTAATATTGATCTTTCTTATTTTCATTGAGTGATTTGGTGTTCCCTGTTTTTCTCTGATACAAATAAATGAATATCCCAGAAGTGCTTCGAAGACACCCATGGTCAAACACTTATCACATACACGGGGTCTCTACTTTGGCAAACAGATGAATATCTTACTTGCAACACAGATGAAAAACGTGGGAAACACCAAGTGGATAATTTTATACCTGTCCTTCAAACTAATTATTCAAGGACATACTAGAGTTTTTTATGCCCTGAAGATGAATGAGTGAAGTTGAAAATAAATATTTTTTTGCAATATTTGAATGAAAATACGTCGATCGATAGCAAGTATAGGAAATTGAGAAAAACAAAATGCAGCGATAACTCACCTGTAGCTCATCTGAATGGATTTCCGATGTTTCAAAATTTTGAGAACACCTGGCATGCGATTTTCTGGATATTGGCGACCAATGAATCAAATGTTGACGAAAGTGAGATTTCCATGATTTATTACCAAAATCACTAAAACTTCTGAATCGTTGTAAATCACAGATATGTTGTCCATCGAAAAATGCTACAGACCCAAAACAAGGTTCTGATGAGGATTTATGCAATGAATTTGAAACATCACAATTAGTAAAGTAATTCTAAAAAGAAAAAAAATCATGTAGATTGATCAATTAGAATATCCTTATGTACTTGTAGCTAAAAACAAAACTTCAAATCACATTAGATCAGTATGTTTTCGACAACGAAATGACCACTAGTTTTCCAAGATGGATGATCCCCTGGAGTACATTCAGTAACTTATATCCTTCGCTCTATTTCTAAAACGGTGCGAGCAAGCAGTTCTGATTCACCACCCCAAGTATTTCACATTAAAAATTCATGTCAAACAATCGCTAATATTCATACAAGGTGTTCATAAGATCTTGCATGTTTCCAGCACAGACAGGCGCCAATCGATAAAAGGTTGGTGGAAATGAGAATCAGCTCTATCTGTGGGTCTATAATAAAACTTTTCCAGTAAACTGTCAGCATACAACATCAGATGAACAAAAATATGTTTGTTATGAAGGATGAATGAACTATCGACTGCCTAAATAAAATAAAGGAGTGCTGATCGATCGTTGATTTAGAGCATAGACAAGTACTCCAAGATTGCTTCTAACTACTTACGATACTCTTGAATATCTGGCAGTGACAGACGCTAATTCATTATGATCCCATAGATATAAAGTTGAAACAGGTTGTCATTATAATAAATTACAAGCAAAAACCACCATTTTCACTTCACTAGCACGACATTTAAAAAATAAATCAAAAAATGCAGTTGCACATGGAATCGCCTAGAACTTGTTTAGTGAATTTACTGGCCAATACAATCCTATCCATAAAACTCAGATCCCACAGTTCTAGTAATCGGAAGATGAGAAAATGAATATCATAGATACGTAGAAAGCATGTCAGTTTCTTATAAAATCAATCACCAAAACCGTGAACAGACAGCCAACAACTAGGATCTATTTCAAAAGTTTTACGCCTAAAGTATATATATATATATTAGAAACAGTATACTATTATGATTCGGAAATTCAGAGACATTGATGAAGATTGTATTCCATTCAAAATGGAGTTTTGGATGTTTGAGATTTCAACATCCTCTAAACTGACAGTGCAATACTGTTTTGTACTGTGCATTTCGTGATTTCATTTCCCGTTTTGAACCATATTCACAATGTCTAGTTTACCACCACTAGTGGTATTACCATTTTCACAACCTGACCTTCAATCTAGTTACTTTGCTTTTTCTATGCTGCAGTGAAGTGTGATAACTTCTACTGACACTATTCCTAGATTGTTTGTGACTGACTGCTAGTAGTGAAGTCTTGATATTTCACAAGCTCAAATTGTTCGTGACGAAGACAAGGTGGAGCATTGCCGAAGATACGAAAATGAAGCAAGTTAGATATTTGTCCGTGATTCAGTAATTGAAATCAAAAAGCTCCGAATGACTGTTCTGCTTGAGCTAGATGCTACAAGAAAAAGGAGTGTGGACATTTTTTGTGAGTCACTGACCTTATTCAAAACCAACCAGCAGCAATAGCACAGCGAGATGGAATTTTCAGGGAAACTCTTCGAGTGGTAGAAATAGTAGCAGTATTAGTGGTAATAGAGATTGGGGGTCGAACATACGACTCGGGAATATAAGTGAATTACTGGAATAAAAAGTTTCTATGGTACTCAGAAACTTGAGATCCAAGGAAGAACTAGGAGTAAATGCACGTGCGTCATTGTAAATGGTTCTCCAACTATCAGTTACCATCATGGAGAGGATCCCAGCCAAATAGTCTTCACAAACTTACATAGTTTAACCCGACAGTTAGTGGTCTCATGGGCTGTAGCCAGATCTTGGTTTAACCACCCCTAGTTTTCTTCTAGACTACTCCTACACCAGACGTCACCCATCGAGATAGTCGATGGTTGGACAAACCTAATACATGTTGTGACCATCTCAGTCGATGAAGATTCACTATCCCGTTAACAAATTCATCATACTTACCTATTACTCTGCGTCTAACCTCAGAATTGCTGACTCGATAGTCGCAAAATACACGAGAAATAATTCCAACAAACCTATAATCGAATAGTAGTAACCCAAGAACATCCTCCCCTCCTAATGTCTATGGTTCACATCCATAAAGTAGAATGAAGCAAGCTGTTGCGCAGTGAACGTGTCCTGTAGTTTTCAGACGGATATCTTGTCTACGCCACAAGTGATGCAAGTTGACGAAATACAATCGAGCCCTTTGGATCGATGCAGACATTTTACGAGCCCTAATTAAGTGTTGGATAATTATTGAGGTCCATATTTTAAACGAAATGTCAGTCAAACTGTTTTCTCTGTGATCAGCAAAAGAGGATTTTGCCCTCTATTACAGACTGAAATGATCAGAGATTGAGACTAATTAGATGAGATTAGGTCTAGACCCCAGACTCTAGCTAATATCTCCGGCAATCTAATAGCCAAAACTGGGTCGTTGTCCTTAAAAATTGATGTCAAGTAGGGAATTATGAGTTTGTGGTTTATTTATTCAACACAGTATTCATGAGTACTGTTTAAATACAGGTACAAGAAACAAGAAAGCATCTAATTATATGTTTCCGCGAGTTACTTTTTTATTTATTATTTATTTGAGCACGTAAATATTGGTACAAAAGAGCACTGAATACGTACACGCTACATAAGTCACTTGATTTGTGTGTGGGCTGAGGTACTGCCCGGCGGCACAGACCGAAGCATGTGGTTTCCTTAGGGGATCACACCCGGAGCCTTCGACCTAAAGGTCTAATCCACAAGGCAGTGATCAATGACTGGTTCATACGCCATTTGTTCCCTCAGGATGCTGGAGCCCATGTGCACCACTGGTTTGGAATCAGGGTTTTCCAGCTCCTTTAGGTAGACCCTCAGTGTCCACCAACCCGATTAAAGCACCGGACATTCGCTTTCCACCCTCTCAATTGCGTGAACACCTCCACCGCGAGAAGGCAGTGAGTAGGACTTCCCTGGCAGTGGCTGTATACATGTGGCCATGTGAGAGCATTTCGAGAGGGAGAGCGGACTCTTCCCACACTCGACCGTACCAGGGCATTTGGGGGATTTTTTTATTAGCTACACAAACGAATTAAAATTGACTTGTACGGGGGCTTTGGGAGATTGTTGAGTGGTATTAAGATCAAGAACCCACCCGGTTTACGGGACCATCAAAAAGCTGGAAGCACTTGGGAGCTGTTTCGTCCTTCCATGAGATCCCTCAGCAATGCATACCCACGAACTCACGTGGGGTCAAAAATTATTTAGTAAATATCACTCTCAAGAAAAATCGCTAAAAAGTAGATGAGAACTGTATGAGATTAAAGGAAATATTACTGTTCGGATATACATCGGCAGGTGTACAGAATAATATTTAAATGCTTCTTGACATGAAAACTATGGCGACGAGTTTTTCTAACATGGCATAAAAAGTAACAAGAAATGTATCGCGTCCATGATTTGACCGTTCAATATATAAACGAGACACTAAATCATTTAAAAGATTAACGAAAGTCGTATGACCAGATAAATAAGGGAAAAAATTAGAAGTGCTTGGTTGATGGTCAAAGCTAAACGACATGGAATCGGTAGAGTTCCCATCGTTTAAGTGCACTTAAGTTTATACACTTAGCATGTGACAGAGATTATGGTCTTCTTTGGCTGGAACCAAACGTTGTTAGGTGATTAAAACCAAATTCAAGGACTACAGAACATTAAAACTAACACTCGTATAACTAGCTTGAGAACCAGTGTTACAATGAATCACACATTTATGTGATTCATTTCAGTATTCAGATACCATCTGATCAAATTAACGGAGACGAATTATAGCTCTGACAACATACGGAACCACAATATTAATCAACGAAAGTTAGACGACATAAATAAAATATACAAATAACGCTACTTTTGCTGAAGATAAACACTGGGGAGAGAAACACGTTTTGGCATCGTCATCGCGCGAAGTCAATAAGCGTTCCTCCAGAATCTCATGAGTTTTATGTAGGATAGGTGTATCTGTCTAAAAAGCACAATAAATAAATTAGTTGTACGTGGAAATAGTTAAATCCGAAGTTTACGAAACTCTACAAAGCCGAGTGCTTTCAAATACACTCTGCTTTAAAAATTAAATTCTGTTGGCAGACACAAACATAATAACGTAACACTGCAATTTTTATATTTATTCAGACACAATTCTTGTGTTTTATTTCTTATTTTGATGAGCCTTTTTAACTCTTTATTTATATGCGCCCTTACTGTCTAAAAAAACAATATTTATTTATTCTTACTGTAACCACTTTCAGAGAAGCATTTTACCATGCTCAGTCTATCACGAGACTAAATAATAGTAACTCATGTGATTTTTACTTCTTGTACAACACAACAGTACGATGACAGACTCGAACAGGGAGTATAAAATCTAATGATTTGTGGAGTAGATTGATAAGAATAGTTTAGTTAACTAACTATTATACAGTAAACTATAAGTATAGTATTGGTCCACAAATGGATCCCAAAAATTACCACTCATTATTCTTATCGGGGCATAACAGATTTAGATGTTGTTTTACTGTTCGTTATCTAATTACAAGTCTAGTCGAAGATAATGGTATTTGTTCTTATAGTAGATTTATTTGAATGTTATTATTTTACTATTTATTTATTTCAACACATAGATAATGGTACAAAGAGGCACCAAATACATATGCGCCACACAAATCTCATTCGATATGTGTGAGGGCTGTGATACTGACCGGGCGCCCAAACCGAACCAGGTGGTTTTCTTAGGGGGCCACTCCCCGAGCCTTCGACCTGAAGGTCTGATCCACAAGGCAGTGGAGCATCGTAAGGAGATGCAGTCCCATGGAAGCCGGTGACCAACAATTGGTTCATACGCCATTTGTTCCCGCAGGATATTGGAGCCCATGTGCACCATTGGTTTGGAATCCGGTTGAAGCGCCGGACATTCGCTTTTCGTCCTCTCATTTTCGTAAACAACACCCGCGCCACGAGAAGGCAGTGAGTAGGACTTCCCTGGCAGAGGCTATATACGCGTGGCCGTGTGAGAGCATTTCGAGAGGGAGAGCGGAATCTCCCCACTCTCGGCCGTACCAGGGCATTTACTGCTTCTTAAGTGAACAAAACACAATTAATTCCCGAATACTTACGAAAGCCAGTTCAGTTGTCAGCGAGATAAGTTGGCCAGGAGTTCGGTAGTATTGAAAAGGTAACGGAACGACAGATGGTGTATTCAAAACGTCACTTGGCTGCAAGGCTATAAAAGTAAACACAAATTGAAGGACGGTAAAATAATTGGGAAGTAAAACTCAAATAACACGGGAAAACCGAGAAAGCTTACCAAGTATTCACAGATGGCTAATGGAGGACTTTTTTATGGACGTTATGTAGCATCTCAGGAAAGTGATTTATTTCCGTCAAACAGTAAACCCGGAGAGATCAGAGATGACAACCGGACCCCACACATACACAGAGGGACACTGAAATGTCATAAAATACCCAACCAAGTTATAGCAGCATGTTTAGTGGACAGATCCCTTTTGACGAAGCAAAACAAGAGTAACAGGAACTGACATTCTTTTGAGCAGAAGTAACACCGGTTTATACTTTCTGAAGAAATTAACCATAACTGATGACCCAGATATGTTAGAAATACAGATGTGAAGTGTATTACTAACAATTCCCACATGATGTGGATAAAAGACTTTTTAGTTGGGCGCCAACAAAGAGTAAGGGTGAACTCAAATTTATCTAGCTGGGGAACTGCGCTTAGTGGAGTGCCCCAGGGTACAGTTTTGGGGCCAGTGCTATTCCTCTTGTATGTGAATGACCTTCCTCGTCTCCTATCATCATCGGTCTTGCTATATGCTAACGATGTCAAGATATGGAGAACGATACGATGTAAGAGTGATAGCTTAGAACTTCAAAATGACCTGAAGAAGTTATCTGAATGGTCTCAAACCTGGCAGTTGCCGATAAATACTTCCAAGTGTGTTGTGATGCATAAAGGTCATCAAGGTACAGATACATACACGATGAATAACACTGAGCTACCTGTCGTCCAGACATATGACTTAGGAGTTGTCGTTAGCCAAGACCTAAAGACTACTGCACACTGCCGTGCAATAGCCGCCAAAGGTTTTGGAACCTTATGGTCAATACGTAGGGCTTTAAGTCATGTTGACGCCAAGACTTTTTTGACTTTGTATAGTGTTCGTACGTCCTAAAATTGAGTACTGCATACAAGCGGCTAGCCCCTGCTTAAAAAAAGACAGTGAGCTTGTAGAAAAGGTTCAGAGGACGGCGACTAAGCTGATTCCCGGAATAGCGAAGCTTCCGTATGAAGCTTGACTGGCCAAGCTGAACCTTTTCCCGTTGTCATATCGCAGAACTAGAGGCGACTTGATTACAGTCTTCAAATTGCTGATTGATAAATTTGCACCTGACATGCCCTTATTTTTCTTGTCTTCCAAAACAGAGAATTTACGAGGACACTCCAAAAAAGTTCATAAGCCTAGAACAAATTACTTGTCAGCTGACAATCGACTTTCCCACCGAATCATCAACGAGTGGAATTCATTACCTCAGCACGTGATTGAGGCTCCATCAGTCGACTCTTTCAAAAGAAAGTTGGATCAACTGAGAGACCACCATTGCCAGGACTAACACAGGCCATCAAGCCTTCTGTCGTTTAAAAACTGAAACTGAATGTCCGTTCACGAAAGATTTCCCTTTGCCATAACGTTTTGGTGTATACTTCTTAAAGTATAAAACACTTGGAAAAACTGATAACTTATATGAGCTAAATTCGATGAAAGAGACATTACCTCAGGAGAGATAACAACAAAAAAGGCTGCCTCCTATCATGATGACATATTTACCATTCAATGAATAATGCTTGACTGTATTGAGACCCTAACTTTCCGATATTTCATCGACTGCTACATTTTTTGACAAATTTAATGTACTGTTATGGGCCTCTCCATAGAATAAATTTTGTGAAATTATGATGAAAATGCGCTCAAAACAGCATTGGTTTATTTACGAAAATCAGACATGCATCCAGTAGTTGGTTTCCGTTTCACTCTAAGCCTGTTCAAGTAATTATTAGACGTAATATTTCTCTAATACGTTAGATTCTTATTCGTATATGTTTACAGAAAATTTAACTTTGACTAGGATTAAGTACAGACCCAAAACTTGAGGATGAAAACTGTTTTAAAATAAACTTATTAGAAGTAGTGACTTCTAACAAAGAATTTCGAAGGATCAAAGCAGTTATTGAGAAAATCTTGCAAATGAGACAAGTTTAGAAAACTTACGACGCTTCCATGTTATAGTAGACAAACCAAAATCCGTCAGCTTTAAATGTCCTTTGGAGTCAATAAGTATATTATCCGGTTTAAGATCACGGTGGATTATTCCATGTGTATGAAGATATTCCAAGGCTATTGCAATTTCAACAGTATAGATAGCAGCGTGAGATTCTTGAAGACAGCCCATAACCAGCAAAAGTGACTTAAGGTCACCACCAACGAGGTATTCCATAACCTGCAATTTCAGACTATGATAACAATGACTACTACCAAATATATGTGACTGGTGGTTTGCAAACAGTAGTACAAATGGACGATGTATGGACATTTACTAACTGCAAGAGCATTTCGCTCACAAGTAACTGCGGAGTAGTAGTGATTAACAATCAACTTACCTTTCTCTACAAGATTTTTTTTCCTCATTTCTTCTTTAGACATTATTTTTATTGCGTATATAAGGTCAAAATTGTTTGCCTTAGCTCCTAAAAACACTTTTCTTTCAAGATTACACAGAAAAAAATCCAGTACCCAAAAGCACCTTTGCTTATAGGTTTTATCATTACGAAATCATTTATAGAAGGAGCCGAACTGTTTTTAGACATCTTTGGAATGCCCGCGCGACCTTTCGATGTGCATTTCCAAGTATTATGAACAACGATTTACAATGCCCAATGGTTATACTGATCATGAGAGGAATAAGAGAGACGTTGGCTTATCTAACTTTTTTTTTCTAATTACAATGAATCACTTATAGCTCAGGTAGGAACCTAGGTATATAAAATCAGTACAAACAGATGAAGTATCAGTGAGTCACTCTGACTCATGAATTCAACCTGTGAAAACTCTGAGATATGTTGAATTTTTAAGAAAATATCAACGTTTCTTTCGGAAAGCTTGATGAAAAGTACTCCAACCCCCAAATAATGTGGGATTTTAAGTCCTGACTGCTGGTAAGGAATAGGATATTTGCTTATATGCTATATAACATGTAACAGAATATTCTGTTACGTTTGACTTGTAACCAGTGAATGTTCAGTTTATAGTATCTGTTACATTGATGTAAGTGTCCCAGCAGATTTATGAGGAACTTAGTATTCTCCCGGATCAATGTAAAATAATCTCTCACCCTTCTATATCCCAGTGAGTAAAAATCCATTATTCTTAGGGGGTTTTCGTAAAGTATAGCACCTCTTACCATGCACCTTGGTAGTCTATTTCTGCCCACCCATTTGATATCATTTTAGCCCGATCAGTCACTTCCTAAATTCCTAGGGACCATGCCGTCTGTAACGCTCTTAAATACGTTATGCATGCTTTTGAGTGTTCTTGCTGTACGGCATGCGTTATGAGTCAACCACTGACATTTCGGTCGTAGCGGTAAATAGATCTTGGGACTGAATAGTTCTGTATGTCTTCGACATTTACGTTGACCTTGTTTGCTTGACCGGACATACTCCAGCTGCAGGCACTTGGTCACGCATCCGCACCACATCACCATTGAATAGATCGTTCCGCGCATCCCTCTCAACAATTATCATACAAACCTATGAACAAACACTTCTCAATATGTCGGCAAATTTGAAATATATCTTCGAACTTCTTGGTTTCTCACTTCTGGTATTAACTAGGTTGGTGTCTTTTGGCTGTGAAGTTGTACGGATAAAAGCGTCTCATAACCATGGAAACCTACAGCACCCTCACCATGGACCTCAGATATTGTTATTACTTACTTTACTTACGCCTGTTACTCCCAATGGAGCATAGGGCGCCGACCAGCATTCTCCAACCCACTCTGTCCTGGGCCTTCTCTTTTAATTTTATCCGATTTTTATTCAATTTTCTCATGTCTATCTCCAATTCCCGGCGTAATATGTTCTTTGGTCTTCCACTTTTCCTTTGGCCTTGAGGATTCCATGTGAGGGCTTGTCTTGTGACGCAGTTCGGTGCTTTCCTCAATGTGTGTCCTATCCACTTCTAGCGCTTCTTCCTGATTTCTTCCTCCACTGGGATCTGGTTTGTTCTCTCCCACAGTACGTTTTTGCTAATAGTGTCCGGCCAATGGATCTGAAGTATTTTGCGTAGACAATTGTTAATAAACACCTGTATTTTCTGGATGATGGATTTCGTAGTTCTCCAGGTTTCTGCCCCATACAGTAGAACTGTCTTGACATTTGTATTGAAAATCCTGACCTTGGTGTTGGTTGACAGTTGCTTTGAGTTCCACATGTTCCTCAGTTGTAAATATGCTCCTCTTGCTTTGCCGATCCGCGCCTTCACATCTGCATCAGATCCACCCTGTTCGTCAATGATGCTGCCCAAATACGTAAAGGTTTTTACATCTTCCAAATCTTCTCAGTCAATTTTGATTGGATTGGTGCATGCTGTGTTGTATCGGAGAATCCTGCTTTTCCCTTTGTGTATATTGAGACCTACTGCTGCTGAGGCTGCTGCCACACTGTTCGTCTTCTCCTGCATCTGTTGTTGCGTTTGGGATAGAAGGGCCAGATCGTCTGCGAAGTCTAGATCATCCAACTGCATCTTAGATGTCTATTGTATCCCGCGCTTTCCTTCAGACGTTGACGTTTTCATGATCCAGTCGATCACCAGGAGAAAGAGAAAGGGTGAGAGTAAGCAACCTTGCCTAACACCGGTCTTCACTTTGAACGACTTTGTCAACTGTCCTCCATGCACGATTTTGCAGTGTAATCCATCATATGAGTTCTGTATGATATTGACTATCTTCTGAGGCACGCCGTAGTGTCGAAGAAGTTTCCACAGTGTTGTTCTGTCCACGCTATCAAATGCTTTTTCGTAGTCAATGAAGTTGATGTAGAGTGATGAACTCCATTAAATTGATTGTTCCACAATGATCCGTAGAGTTGTGATTTGGTCTGTACACGATCTATCCTTACGGAATCCTGCCTGTTGGTCACGACGTTGGGCGTCTACGCAGTCCTTCATCCTGTTTAACAATACCCTATTGAAGAATTTTCCCGGTATTGAGAGAAGAGTGATACCCCTGTAGTTATCACAATTGCTGAGATCGCCTTTCTTCGGTATTTTGATCAGAAGTCCGTCTTTTCAGTCTTTTGGTACTTGTTCCTCATCCCAAAGCCTGCTGAAGAAAATGTGGAGTATCCTTGCAGTTACCGCTACGTCTGCTTTCAGTGCTTCTGCTGGGATGTTGTCTGGCCCTGCTGCTTTGCCACTCTTGATTTGTCTGATGGCCATGCTGATTTCTACAATTGTTGGTGGACCAACATTGATTGGGAGGTCCGTGGGTGCTGCTTCGATATTGGGTGGGTTCAGTGGGGCTGGTCGATTTAAGAGTTCTTTGAAGTGTTCTACCCACCTGTTTCGTTGCTCTTCAATGTTGGTGATTACCTTGCCTTCCTTGCTTTTCACTGGTCGTTCTGGTTTGCGGCGACTTCCAGAGAGTTTCTTTGTCGTGTCATACAGTTCCCTCATGTTTCCTTCTCCTGCAGCCTTTTTCGCCGTCGTTGCTAAATCTTCCACATATTTACGTTTGTCGGTTCTGATGCTCCACTTCATCTGGTTGTTTATTTCTGTGTATTCACTATGTGCCTTTGCTTTCTTTGCTCTTGTTCGTCTGGTATTGATTGCTGGCTTCTTGTTCCTCCTTTCTTGATAATTATCCATTGTTTCAATAATGGTCCATTTCTTTCGGTGGCGCTTCGTGTGTCCCAGAACCTCATAACATGTTGAAGTGATCGTCTCTTTGACCCCTTTCCAGTTGCTCTCCATAGTTATTCCTTCTCCATTGAGTAGATCATAAAAGGTTTGGAACCTAGTGATCAGGTCCTTCTTGAGTCTTCATTCTAAGCTAGCTACTGGTGAGAAGTAAACGGCCATCTAACTCTATGAGGGTTTCGGGAGCGATCAACTCTAATAAGTCCATGGCTTCAATGAAACTCATCAATCTTCAGGTCCCTCTCGTAACTGTTTCTTGTTAATACTTTCGGATCAGGTTATAAGGAGAAACTCGATTGTACACTCTAATGATTTGGCATAAATTTTTTATTTCACATTTATTATGGCTGCTTTGAAGCATTGGAAGATCAATCGGCACTTAAATCTGAACACTATGTCAGATCTTGACAAGTAGTTGAGATATGGCCAATTTACTGTCAAAGAAGCTCTATGCCTCAAGAAAAACAAAAGATATTTAGAAGAATTATAAAAACATCTTCACAATAACACGGACCATCGAAATGGTGTGACTTATAAAATCAAGTTAGAGACTGAGTTCTACTCATCGTGCCATATCAATATGGTCTCTACTTCATCTTCGACGAAAATATAAAAGATGAACAAAAAGGATTACAAATGGATATAATGATCAATATCAAAGACAACATTTAATTATCATTAAGTATGAGGCATTTTGTATAGCTCTAACTGTCAGCTTCCTCTTGAATCATACGCTATTGAAACATCACTATCCGACTGTTGATAACGGCTGATCACTTGTGTTATGTGTTACTCAGTCTCCATTTTCTTTACGTACACTTTGAGATTTTTGATTTATAGCAATTTGGTTGATACATTTATTTCTGGGATTTCAAAAATCTGAATGATGAAAGATGCATCAACTTCTTGTCATTCAGAGATAAGTACAGAAGAAATTCGACCAGACCAGTCAGTGTCCGCAAATAAAGCATCAGTGTTAAAAGAACTATGATTAGTGGTCAATGAACCACGGTACCGCGCTTTTCGAAGGGGAAGTTTAGTCCTAACGTGGTTTGCATTCATCAAACTTTTGCTGTGTTCTTACGCAACAAAAGTTCCATTTCTAACCAAAAGAATCTATCATGAGCTAAACGCTCGGTAGATTACTGATTTTCTTGAGTTTCACCCAATTTAATAATTAACTGTGGTTTTGCCTCAGCTTACTATTCAGTTTTTTTCCAGTTTTTCATGTAGAGACTAGTTCAGTTTATCTCATCTATTTTATCAGTTTTTGTCCGTTTTCAGTGTGTTTTTTAGTGTATTTTTTACGGTCCTAGGCCTTTGTTGCACCCACAACACAGTTTACGTCAATACAGTGATGAAAAATTCATGCAAACGACCTGGATGCCGTTTTGCTGTTACATCTGGCATGCAGTGCGACAACTTCAAAGGTTGGTTCCACGAAGCGTGCACAGATCTCACAGCAATCGCTTACAACAGACTCAGCAAGTCGGACCATAAGTGGGAATGTGTAACATGCAGCACGGATGCTGCAGTCTTGGTGAGTAGTATCATTGTCCTACTGACTGGTCTGCAGAGCAAGTTGTCGGCAAACTTGGGAAAAGACAGTGAAAAAATGGTAGACAAACAAGGAAGCGCAGTGAAAACGAGAAGAGGGATGTCGACAGGTCTACCAACGACGTAGCATGCAACAGCATTAATGATGACACGCTGAAACTCGGCACCACATATACGACGACGGCACTCGACTCTCAGAAAACTCGGGTCTCACAGTTCAAGGTCCTTGAACGCGACAGTGGTTCCCAAAAACTCTGGTGATTGGACCCATGTCAAAAGAGCTAAAAAGAACCAGGCGTTGCAGTCTAAGTTGGACATCCCAGCTGTTGAACGGAAGTCAACTGGTGATCTGGTCGCACAGTCTACCCCCAAGATTGTCCG